ATGGGGCTGCTTCAAGTGGTCGACCTGCACATACACGTTGGTCTTAAACTCTTCAAAACTGGGCGGTTAAACATCTGCATCCTGTTTTCATTGGCTTGTAAGCCATGGTGATGGGGACCTGCCTAGTCTTCTGAGCCAGCAAGTGTGCCCAGAGGCTAATAAACAGCAGGTGCCTCCAATAAATATGATTTTAATGCTCAATGTAAATGTGTGCAAATAAATATGTAAAATGAAATGTGGGAGCTGAATCTATATGCAGGTTACACAATTTCTCAGCTGTTTTGAACTGTGAACTGTAGTGACTGTGTGTGTATGATGTGTTTTACATGTGCACACTATATAGTGGTGGGGAGTGTATATGTTTGTATTGTGTGTGTATGTGCGTTTGTAGTGTGTGTGTGTGTGTGTGTGTGTGTGTGTGTGTGTGTATGAAGGGAAGTCCCCATTAGGTTGGTTGGAGACACCAGCCACATAATTTACAGGGTCTGGTGCAAAACAAAAGTGTGGGCCCCTTATTCAAAATCATTGGGAATTTCACCCAGGGTTTTGCTTAATGGATAGAGCATCGGCCTGTGGATTGAAGGGTCCCGCGTTCAGTTGCGGTCAAGGGCACATGCCCCAGTTGTAGGCTCAATCCCCAGGCTTCGTTCAGACACCTGCGGGAAGCAACCAATCGGTGTGTTTCTCTCACATCGATGTTTCTTTCTGTGTCTCTCCCTCCCTTCCACTCTCTTTAAAAATCAATGGGAAAATATCCTCTGGTGAGGATTTTAAAAATAAATAAATAAATAAAAAATAAATAAAAATAAATAAAGTATTGAGAATTTCAAGACAGCTATAGCAGAGCATCAGACCAAGCTTGGACCTTTCTGAGTGAGGGCCCCTGTGACCCCACAGGTCAAATGGAGACGCTGCACCTCCTGTTGTTCTGTGTGTGTTTCTCTGCCAATACCATGCGGTTTTAACTATCATGCTCTACAGTCTAATGTGAAGTCAGGTAGTTGTGATACCTCCAGCTTCGCTCTTTTTTAGGATTTGTTTTGACTATTTGGGGGCTTTTGTGGTTCCATACAAATCTGATGATTTCTATTCTATTTATTTATTTATTTTAAAAATTATTTTTATTGATATCAGGGAGGAGGAGAAAGGGAGAGAGAGACAGAAACATCAATGATGAGAGAGAATAATTGATCGACTGCCTTCTAGACTGAGGATTGAGCCTGCAACCCCGGGCATGTGCCCTTGACCAGAATCCCCTTCCCTCTCTCCCCATCCTCCTAATGAGCCTGGAGAGGAGCCGCAGCAGCGCCTGTGCCCTGTGGGTCTTGCTGCACCTTTCCCGACCCTCCCTCTGTTCCGGCCTGGGCCTCACCAGGGCACCCAAATCCATAAGGTCTCTCCTCTCTTTGCTAAAAAAAAAAAAAAAAAAAAAAAAAAAAAAAATGCCCTGAGAATGTCCAGGTCCCCTCCCAGCCCTCCCTGCATCTCCGGGCCCTGCCTCCACCCTCAGTCTCTAGGTACTCGTCAGGCAGCAAGCAGCACAGAGAAGACGGCCCATGGTTCCCAGTTGCGTCCTTACTGCCCACCAAGTGCTTCAGTTCTCAGGGGCCCTGGCCTGGGCGGGGGTGGTGGGAGTAGGGGGAGAAGTGGCAAAGGGGTGCTGGGAAGTTGGGGCCGCGTGGTGCAGGCAGAGTTCCCAGCCTCGTGATCTCAGTGAGGGGATGTGGAGGTGGGGACTCCCTCAGTCCTTCCTGTTTACTGTCCTGATTTTCCTCCTCCCGGGTTAAGTGCCGTGTGCCTGCTTCAGAACACACTCGGGAGATGCTAATGGGTAATAATGAGGGTGTTCCTGCCCCAATACCTATCTTGTCAATAATTAGCCACGATTTCTGAGGTTCTGGGAGGTGACACCTGGTTTGCCCCAGCTGGTTTAGCTCATCAGTGTAGCAATAGCATGACAGTTTTGAGATATCTGAGTGGTTTTGGGGTGGTCCATGCCTGGGCACCTCCCAAGGGTTAAGGGAACTTGAGAATTTACTTCACCCTGTTTCTGACCCTAGTCAGAGACTAGTCCCTAAACTCAGCCCATCCCAGCTCTCCTGGTAACCACCAGCTCCGTGTGCTCTGTTTTAGGGACCCCAGATGGGACTGTGTGAACCCCCAGCCTGGGGACCTCCCTGCAAAAGGCCCCCTGTCTCAAGCCAAGGAACCCAGAGGTGTATAGTTTGTGAGTGACGTGGGGCAAGCTAGGCTAGAGAGAGGATTTCAATAAATGGCCAGGCCTGAGTGGAGATTGCTACAAACTTGTTAGGCACTGGCCATGGGGCTTTGCCTGCCAGGGAGAGGCGGGATGGGGGTGGGGAGACGAAGAGGAGGGAGAGGGAAAACAAGTTATTCTCCATGCAGGGGTGTGGTGATAAATTGGATTCCAAGTGGTGGGGGGATGTCTTAATTTAGAATTTGCCAATTTCTGTGGTGTAAATATTTCCACAAAGCTATCAGTTGGTTTAACTACTGGCTCACAAAATTCTTGACTCAACAACAGCTCTTGCTTACTTACTGCTCATTAGATCTTTGTCCCCTCAGAGGCCCTCAACAGCACAAGCCCCCAGGCCCTCGCTGCACACCTCCCTGAGCCTCGCTTGCCCACTTCCCAGGTTTTATTTACAGAAAGCCCTTCTCCATGCAGTGGGCATCTGGGGCCTGAAGCGAGCCATCCAGATGTTCCAGCTCCCCGTGCTTCAGACCCTAGAGGAGGGCGGGCGGGTCTGCCTCACAGGTTGTTATGAAGCTCAATGAGGCGATGGATAGGAAATGACTTTGCCAAAATGTACACCGAACCCAATCAAGTGGAGTGCCACAACCCAACTTCCATGGCCGCCTCCTCCTGGTGTGGTTTGAACAGCCACAGTTTGGGGCATCTAGCAGTTCTAATTCGCCAGCTGATTAGCCACCCTGCCTCTCACCTCCCTTGGTCACATGTCAGCCTCCTCACCCATTCTCACCGCCAAGGGACCAGGTATGTGTGGGTGACAAATACCAGGGAGCCAGGAAGCCACTAGTCAGGTCCCTGGGCCACAGAACAACGCCCGTTCCAGGGGCTGGGAGTCTGTCCACAGAAGGCCACCTGCGGAAGGGGCTTCCTGGTCCTGCGCGTGGCCGGGACATTCTCTGGTGCAGGACTTTTTATTATGCAATCTTTCCAGAGACCCACATGCCCGTGACACCTTCCCAGTGACTTCATTTCCCCCTCCTCTGGGCTCCTGGAATGGCCCCACCTTAGCATGGCAGCTGTGATGAGAGGTGTTGACCCAGCTGCCTATCTGCTGGCTCACCGTGTCAGGTGGAAGGGGTGAAGACAGTAGCAGGGTTGAGGGTCTTTCCTTAGGGTCAGGAGCCTGGAACTGTCTCCAGGCAGGATGGGGGCTGGATTCAGCCAGCTCCTAGGTGATGAGTGGTACAGGAAGCCAGTGAAGAATAGGCCACAGGACAGGAAAACAGTCCAGAGCCACAGATATGCCACTGGTTCTTGTCTTAATCTCTCCTGTGTGGTGAGAGCAGTCAGCCAGGCCTCGAGCCAGCAGAGAGCACCTGCTGACCCCAGAATAAGTTTCCGTGGGGGCTGGAGACAGTCACACCTGCCTGACATGTGTGAGCCTTACAGGCTGGTGAATAAACCAGCACAGCACACTGCAACACACCCTCGTCTGGGTAGAAGGCTTCATAAAGGAGGTGTCATTCGAAGGGGCCAGAGGGGTGGGTCCCCCGAAACAGCCCCAATCTCCCTGCACAAGCCCAAGTCAGGCTCCAGCCCTGGGGCCCACAGATCCACCTTCTGAGCATCCATGGGGTGACCCTCGCAGCAGGAGGTTACAAAGCTCTGGCCAAAGCTCCACCAACATGGCAGACTTCCCCCTTCTGGGGACAGATGGGAGTAAAATTCCCTGGCTGCTCTTTTTATAAATAATCAGGTGTGTGTGTGTGGGGGGGGGGGGAGATAGGGGAGGGGAGAGAAGGGGCTCTTTGGAGGTTCCTGGAAGTTGAGAGGTTCCATCAAGAGGAGACAACACACGTGGCACACCCAGAGCTGGAGCTGGATCCCGGCTCTGGCTTCCGGTGTTCACCCCCAGAGTTCAAGGTCTGCACCAGCCCACTCAGGGACTTGCTGAGGGCACAAGGGCTAAGGCCAGCCTGGAAGAGATCTGACTCTGAATTAGATGTGATCAATGAGGGAAAATTATTGCAGCACTTGAGTTCATGGAAAATGCTGTGTGTGCGCCCCATCATTTAAGAATTGTTTCTGTGCATTCCTGAACCTGGGACCCTTTTCTCTCTCCCACTCAGGGGAATCTTATGGGATTCCACACTTGGTTCAAAAGGTATGAGAAAACACCTTCCCCATGCTCACACATAGTAGGAGTGCAGCTAATGAAAGCCCCTTCCTTTAACCACTCACGGTGGTCACCTGGGGCTGGGGTTGATGGGCCTCTGATCCCTGCCTCCCTCTTCCTTCTCCAGCTGATGACCAACACCTGGATGTCATAACGCCTTCTGCGTCCTCATGTGTTATTCTGGGACACTGTCTGGGGAGGGTACCTGAGTAGGCCCCCTCTGACTGAGGCTAGCAACGTGGGCTGGCCTGTGCCAGTCTCATGGATGGATGTAGAAGGGCGAGGCACTGATCCTGCTCGTTGGGCAGGATGCTGGCAGGAGGGCAGGACAAGCAGGGGCGGAGCTTCTAGAACAAAGGAGAAGGGGAGCCTGGGGGCCAGGCTAGGCATCAAAAAGGCTCTGCAGAGTGAGCATGCCACAGTAGCCACCTCTGCAGCCAGCAGTTGGGCAGACAACCCTCACCTGGTCCCTTCTGCCTGCCCCAGGCCGGCATCTCAGCAGCTCTGTTTAAAGAGGCCTCGCTCTCCAGCGTGATTGCGCCGTCACTGCTCTGTGGCTTTCTCTGCTTGGCGTGGGTTGCTGCTGCCGTTCCAGACAAGAGCAGAGGGATGGCCGGGAGCGGAGCCAGGAGCCAGGGAGGCCGCCGGGAGCACGCCTTCATCCCGGAGCCTTTCAACGGAGCCAACATAGCCCCCCACCTCTGGCTGCACCGCTTTGAGGTCATCAACGACCTCAACAATTGGGACCACGCCACCCAGCTGAGGTTCCTGAAGGAGTCCCTCAGGGGGGACGCCCTGAAGGCCTACGATGGACTCAGTCCCGAGGACCAGGGGGACTACCTGGCTGTGAAGGACACCCTGCTGAAGACCTTCGGGGGGCCCGCCGCCCGCAGCCACCTGCCCAAGGAGATCGTCTTTGCCAACAGCATGGGTAAGGGCTACTACCTCAAGGGGAAAATTGGCAAAGTGCCCGTGAGGTTCCTAGTGGACTCCGGGGCCCAGGTGTCTGTGGTCCACCCGAACTTGTGGGAGGAGGTCACGGATGGGGACCTGGACACCCTCCGGCCCTTTGAGAACGTGGTAAAAGTGGCCAACGGGGCAGAAATGAAGATCCTGGGCATCTGGGACACGGTGGTGTCGCTGGGCAAACTGAAGCTCAAGGCAGAGTTCCTGGTGGCCAACGCCAGTGCCGAGGAAGCCATCATCGGCACCGACGTGCTCCAGGACCACAACGCCGTCCTGGACTTCGAGCATCGCACGTGCACCCTGAAAGGGAAGAAGTTCCGCCTCCTGCCGGTCGGAGGGTCCCTGGAAGACGAGTTTGACCTGGAGCTCATAGAGGAGGAGCCCTCAGAGGAGGGGCAGCAGCCCTCCTATTGAAAAACCCCCATTCCCATCACCCCCCAAATATGGCGGAAGACCCACCACAGAGGAGGGACAGGCAGGTCCTCAGGGGATCCCTGGGCGCGGCCAACCCTCTAAAATCAACTCCTTCCCTCCTCTACTCATCCCCTCCGCCCTCTGCAGGGACCTGGATCTGCCCTGGGGGGGCGGGGGGAGGCTCCATTGGGAACCGCTCGGGTGAGGGAGCGCAGGCTGGCTTTCTCAGAGGACAGAGGGTCCTCACGGTTGCCAAGCTGGTGGCAACGACTCAAAGGCTGGAGAAGGTTCCATGAAGGCTAGAACTGATTGTCTTTGAGAGAGGACCCCGAGTCGGCTGCTTCTCCTCCTCAGGTCTGGGCAGCCTCAGTCCGCTGGGCTGGCTGCAGGGTCCTCTCGGTCCTCGGGGACTCCTCCCTGCCTGGCCTTCCCACCTGCGTGATGTATACTTCCTTCTGTCATTTACTTTGAAGCCCATGGAGCCTTGTGCCAATAACTCATTACTTCCAAACCCAATAAAGATTGACTCATGGCAAAACCACATCATGTGTTGATTGGGGATGAATGGGATGGATGTGAGAGGGTGAGGAAAACAGGGTGTAAATGTCAAACAGAAGGAAGATTCCAGAATTTACCGAGTGCCTACCCTGGATATAGGAGAATACATAGACGGTGACTAATGTATCTTGGATTTTATGACAGCCTCAATTTCAAATATTTTGACTTATTTTCTCCATAATGCCTACCATCATTTCTAATGGAGTCATAAATCCTCTCATCATTTCAAACTACAATATTATAGCATCAGCATTGCCCCTTGTACCCAAAAGTTACCCTAAAGTTATTTTTTTTTGTTTTAAATATATTTTATTGATTTTTTTTTTTATAGAGAGGAAAAGAGGGATAGAGAGTTAGAAACATTGATGAGAGAGAATCATCAATCAGCTGCCTCTTGCACCCCCCCACCGGGGATGTGCCCGCAATCAAGGTACATGCCCTTGACCAGAATCGAACCTGGGACCTTTGAGTCCACAGGCCGACGCTCTACCAACTGAGCCAAACCAGTTTCGGCTACCCTAAAGTTATTTGTGAGGTGTCTTGATTGGGAATGGAAAATTACAGCATTTGTTAACAGATGGGAAAGGATCTGCCTGGCAAGTAGGTTCCTATAGCCGCTTGGGAGCCAGGATCAGGGGCAGAACACAGGGCCAGGGACAAGTGTTGGCCTGCGTGGGCCACCCAAGGGAGTTATGGGAGGAGGGGATGTGGCGACGCCAGGGTGGCCCGGGTGGTGGGAGGACAGCTTTTTCCTGGAAGGACCTGGAATGAATCTGAAACTGGAGAGGCAGGATGGAGGGGGGGACAGGGGTTCCCAGATCTGGGAATGGGGTGTCCCATCTCTTTTAGGGTCTACCTCATAATCTGCTCCCAAATGCCTGCCCCCCTCTGGAATGAGCAGGGCCTGGAATCTGAAAATCCCAACCAAAGGGGGACTGCGGGCACAGCTTTGAGAGCTTTCAGTGGGAGGTGGGCAGGGCCTCTCCCCTCTCTCCCGAGGGTTCCATGAGCTGTTCTGAGGTTTCCACTGGGACACCCCGAGACAAGCAGCCCGCCCGGAGGGTGAGCACCTGGACCTCTGGAAGCCAGTCTGAGCTGAGAGCGCTGCCCCCCTCGAGCTCCAGCTGATTCTCTGTAAACCGAGGCACCTGACTCCTGAAGCCCAGCCCTGGGCAGCCAAACAGCGTCAGCCCCAGGGAACGTTGGGAGATGGGCGGGTCTGCTGCCGGGGCAAGTCTTTTCCCAGGAAGGTGAGGCCTGGAGGAGGTGGGCCCAGCGAGGAGCCTGGAAGTGGAGACAGAAGCAGAGAAGGCGGTAGGAGAATGGGGAAGGAGGGCCTCTCCTATCCCTCACCTCCCGGGTCTCCCGTCTTCAGTTTGGTTTTCAACTTGTAACAGAAGCTGCTTGTCTACTAGGCCAAACCCTCCCCTGAGGGGACAACCCAGGCGGCACCTCCCTGAAACCTATTTCCTCCAGGTCCTCAGCTCCAGAGCCACAGGCTGGGCTGAGGCAGGAGGCTGTGGAATGGTGGGTGGGGAAGTGGGCAGGGGCGTGGACACAGGGAATGGGTGCCAGGCCAGAATTCCAGGGCAGCACCCGAGTCGCCCTCTCCCTGCCCTTCTCCATGCATAGCAGGCTGGTGAACAAGAGCGGGTGACCTGTGTCCCAACTGCAGGGACCTCGCCTCCCTGTTCTGAGCCACCCGTTCTCTCCTGGCGGGTGGGGGTGGGGGATGAGTGCCCGCTGGGCCCGTGTGAGGAGGCCAAATGGAGGAAGGAACTAGGTGGTGGTTCTTACTAGAGCACCGTATGTCTCACTCGGAGTGAGTCTTAAGACAGGTACAGTGTGTGTGTGTGTGTGTGTGTGTGTGTGTGTCGGGGCGGGGGGTGTTACCAGTGCCGGCCCCCTCCCCCCACCACCTCGTGTGTGAGGGTGGAACCTGGGCTGTGGGTGGTGAAGGCCGCTCTCCTGCAGCAGACCGGCCCTCTCCTAGGGAGAGGCCTGGAGAGCAGACAGGGACTGGATCGGCCACATCGCCGAGGGCTGATGCCTGGACGAGGAGTCTGAGGTAGCTTGCAAGGAGTGTTTGGATGGTGGAGGACAAGGAAGATCTATCTGGCTTGTAGGTGTAGGTTGGAGTAAAAGAGCAGCAAAGAATCTAGCTTAAAAGCCCTGGCGGTATTCAGACTTAGGGCCTGCGTTTGAGATGATGGAGAGGAGGAGACAGGCAGGCATCAAGGTGAAGCTCTAACCCTGGCTGCATTGGAATCGCCTGGGAAGAGCAATTACTAGTTCATTGGGCCCATCTGGTTCTCCCAATGAACTAGTAATTGCTAGCAGCAGCTCAAGAAGCCCGGCTTACACCTCAGGTGTATCCACCTCCCCTGGTCCTGGGACCAGCAGGAAGGCGCCTGAGCACCAGCCGGAGCTGGTGAGAGAAACAGCATCGCAGCCTCACACGCCGGCACCTGCATCGGGCCACACCTCCAGGTGATTCGCATGCACACGGATGTCTGGAGGGCCCTGGCCTAGAACATTCTGATCCCACTGGTGAAAGGGCAACTCACGGCCCCACAAGACCCCTCTCTTCTAACAATGACCACCACACACCGAATGCCCCCCAATTCCCACGGTGCTGGGTATTTCTCATGCTTTTATCCAGCAAACATTTACTTTTAAGCTTTTGTTTAATTTCAGACTTTCAGAAAATTTGCGAGAGTAGTACAAAGAATTTTCATATACTTTAGGTACCTTTAACCTAATTTAAAATTAGGTACCTTTAACCTAATTTCCCCCAATATTAACATTTTACCAATTAACATTTATCATTATCTCTCTGAATCTAAGCATAAGAACTGTTTGAAAATTACAAGTATGATACATATTTACTCCTCAACACGTTAGTATTTTCTATAGAAGAAAGGAATCCTCTTATGTAACCACAATGCAACGATCAAAATCAGGACATTAACTTGGTATAATCCTATTATCGTGTGCAGAGCGTATCACATTCCCCCAATTATCCCATTAATGATCTCTGTAGCAAAAGTAACCAATCCAGCCACACAGTGCACAGTCATCACATTGCTTTAGTCTCCTTTAGTCTGAACAGATCCTCAGTCTGTCTTGTCCTTTGTGACCTTGACATTTATGAAGAGACCTGTTCACTTACCCGTATTTTCTGGCGTATAAGACGACCTTTGAACTGAAAAAAAAGTCAACCGAAAATCCGGGGTCATTCATTAAAATTTAATTAAAAAAAGAACTGGTGCCAAAACCGGTTTGGCTCAATGGATAGAGCGTTGGCTTGGGGACTGAAGGGACCCGGGTTCGATTCCGGTCAAGGGCATGTACCTTGGTTGCGGGCATATCCCCAGTAGGAGGTGTGCAAGAGGTAGCTGATCGATGACTCTCTCTCATCGATGTTTCTAACTCTCTATCTCTCTCCCTTCTTCTCTGTACAAAATCAATAAAATATATTAAAACAAACAAACAAAAAAACTGGTGTTGCCTCGGAAGTGGGGGGTAGTCTTATACAGCGAATATAGGCCTAAACCTATGTTTTAACTGCAAAATTAGGGGGTCGACTTATACGCCGGGAAATACGGCGCTTTGTAGAATATGAACCTGTATTTTCTCACGATCAGATTCAGGTTGTACATTTTTGGCAGGAATACCCAGAAGCACATCATGTCATGAGGCTCCAGATTTAATAACGGAATAAATGCTTATTCATTTCATTACTGGTGATTTAACTTGAATCAGTTGGTCAGAGTGGTGTCTATCAGGTATCTCCATTGTAAAGTAATTTTTCCTGTGTAGTTAATGAGTTTCCTCTGGGTTAATACTCTGAGAAATATGTTATATATGAAATATATAAATAGCCTGTTTCTCGTCCGTCTGTCACCCACTGGATCCATTGATGGTCCTTGCCTGCAATGTGACCTTTCAGTTCTGCCCCTCTGCATTTGTTAGCTGGCACTCAACTCTAAAGAAAAGCTTTCCCTCCCTGTTTATTCCTTTACTCTCTGTGTGTACCATTGTGGACTCATTTTATTCCATCAGTTGTTCTCTATTACGATCCTTGTTTATTTTTGATGCTCAAATTGCTTCAGATTTGGCCTCAGGAGCCTTTTCACACTGGCTCCTGTCTTTTTGGGACGAGTCCCCATCATCATCTGATGGGGACTTATTTTCTGTCACAAGATGTTCCAGGTTCATCTTGTACCTTCCTTGCACCAGCCCTGGAATCAGCTGTTTCTCTGAAGAGCCCTGGTTCTTTTTTTCTTTCTTTTTTTTTTTTTTTAATTGATTTCAGAGAGGAAAGGAGAGGGAGAGATAGAAACATCAGTGATGAGAGAGAATCATTGATTGGCTGCTTCCTGCACGCCCCTGCATTGAGGATCGAGCCAGAAACTGGGTCATATGCTCTTAAATGAAAT